TGGACTGTGGGCTGGTATTCAGCAAGCTCTCCCTCTCGGGCATGAAGGCCTCCCTTGTTGACTTGCTTGACCTCGTCCCTCTCAACAAGGTCCGTGCTCGTGGACTTGTCTCATCCACGCTTGACTTGCATTGACCTTGCTTGACCTCTCTCCCTTCTGTAACGCTTGTGACTCCCATGTTGACTCCTTAATCTCGCCCCACCCAACCCTGCTACTGCCCGAAATTCCAGGTCATGATGAGCACGGACGTTGTGGGATTTGCCGAGCCCTACTATCTGAGTAAGCTGCCATTTTGTACGAGCATCTTTTCATTGTTATGTATGATATGGTTTATTATGCCCAACGTCCCTATATTCTTTTATTATCAGGTGCCATGTGGGGAAGGCGCATCCTGTTTCTTGCTCTTGCGTCAATTGTGCAAGGAGGTGACCTCACTCTTTCAGAGGCGCTGCAAGCCGCATGTGGAATTTTGCACAACAATGCACTTCGACTGTACCGTCTTGACATACCGAGCGTTGCCCCCCCTCCAGCCATGTAGTAGTGTAAGTCTGTGGCACGTACACAAAAATGAGAGGTGGAGCATCATCAAGCTTCTTAGGATTCAACATTTGTGTAATTAATCCCTCCTTTCTTTTCATTTCGCCGCATTTCTTCCCCTTTTTCCCTCTAAACGGATGCCTTTTTCAGTGGTCTGTGTTGTGCACGCACGGAAGTTTTTGTGAACTTTCCCCCGCTCGCATTTAAGGCCAATCAGTGAATGCCAGCTAGGCCTGATTCCCATTTTATTTACCAATAAACAAACAGGGCATCAGATGACCTTGGGGGAGCCGCCAGAAGCAACAGCACACGCCAGGACCAAGGCGCACAGATGCCACAGGCATGTGACGAAATGGCGCGCCGCGACGATTTTTGGATCGGGGGCAGGAAGGAATGTTTCACCAGCAAGGCATCTCACCCCACATCACTGCCCACGTGGTCTAGCTCCCGAATGTTTTTTTGCATAGCAAACCTTTTTTACGATTCAGCGGCAACATATGCGCAGCTCTTCCATCCAATTCCCCGTCCTTGTTCACGACGCGAAGCTAGCGCCGCAACATGGATCATGGGAAACAGGGATACAAAAGTGCGTGGGGCTCAACAAGGTGGTCTGCGTTTCAAAGCGGTGAGATACATATTAAGAGCGATGCTGCTCAGTCACGGTAATTCCTGTGTTTCCGACCTTCCCTTTGACCCTCGATGTTTGTTCTGCTGCTTGCTTCGTTTTCTCCTCCGCCTTTGCTTGTGTGGAAGTGCTGTTTTTTGAGTTCGTAAGCATTATTCTCGCGCTAGACGTTCAGCACAAAGACCCGTCTCCCGGCGTTGTGCGTATTTTTTCACCTATCGTTGGCTTCCTCACGTTTTTTTACCGTAAAATCACGGTTTATTGCCAATATTTCGTCGAGGTATGGGAGCCGACTCTCCAGATTATTAGGTTTCAGCGTTATCTCGTACTAAATTATGCGCATACTATGCGCACGAGTTTGATTGCGTATTCCTATCAACGATTAATCTGCTAGAGCTATTATGACCGTAATCTCCTCAGGTGTCCCAGACTTTAAATGATAGCGAAGAAGCTTATTGCGATGTTTCAAGCGTCAACGCTGATTATGCGAAGGTCGTATTAGCTGTCGACCTTGAAAGCGTGGTGTCCAGGCCTCCAAGTCAAACTCGACGCTAAATTGCGCGATAGCTCTATAGTAGTGGCGACGGTCCTCTTTAGCCGGTAGAAAAGCCCTCATGGGTCGAGGACGAAATCGCGACGCGGAGTTTAAATTGCCGGAAAGCAGCCGGTTCGACAACGAGGAAGTCGAGCTGTCGGTCGGCAAGCAGGTGCGAGCCATTCTTTTGTAGGTCCTTCTTTTGGAATTAAGATAATGTTAAAAAAACGGCCGTTGTCCAGATTTCGCTGGAAATTGACGGTCAGTCACTATCAACATCTCGCCGCCCTGACGTCGACGTTTCGTTTCCTTGTTTTAATGCGACATTTATACGCCATTCGTTTATTTGGAGGTATTTAATGGACTTCCCTCACGTTTTTACGTCATTCGTTTTAAATCCATGATTTTCCAATTCTCAGATCAGGCGATGGGCTACGGAGACAATCCTCGGGCAGCCCTTCTGGCGGTTCAGCACTTATCACATGGCCGCCTCGAATCATGGTTTGATATGCTCACTCGATTTATCCCCCGTTACGGAGTTTCAGATCAGGCGATGGGCCACAGAGACAATTCTCGGGCAGCCCTTCTGGCGGTTTAACCGCGGCGGTCGTGACGATTCCGCCTCCACCTTCGCGGGGCGATGGCCCGGCGGCGGCGGCGGCGGCTCGGGCGTGTCAGGCGTCGATACGGACGGCAGCTCCTCGTTCTGGCTCGGCGCGCGCGGGGGCGACTCGGTGCGCGGCGGCTCGGTGAGGGACCGCGCGATGCTGCAGCGGTCCACGACGGTCGGGATCTGCATGCCGCGAAACCTGGAGCTCGCTTCTTTGCGCGTGATCGACCCGGAAGACGCGTGAGTTGCTGCTGAGCGATGGGTTTTGGAGGTTGGGTTGGTGGTGGTGAAGAGGAGGACTGTCTATTTCTACATGTCATTTCTTGCCTTTCCTCCTGTGACCCCTCCCTCCTCCCTCCTCCCTCCTCCCTCCTCCCTTCTCCTTCCTCCCTGTTGTGAGTTGATTTAATAAGATCGGTTCTCGCTTTTCATTTCTTGCCTTTCCTTCCGTGCTTCCTCCCTCGTCCCTCCTTCCTCCTCCCTCCTCCTCTTTCCTCATCCCCTTCCCTCCTCCCTCTTCCCTCCTCCCTACTCCCTCCTCCTCTCTCCCACTAACCACTCCCTCCTATTTCCTCCTTTCTCCCTTCTTCCTTCCACATCCCTCTTCCTCCTCCCTTATCCATCCCTCCCGCCTCCTCCCTTCTCCCTCCTCCCTCTCCCCCCCCTTCCCTTCCGTCCGCCCTCGTCCATCCAGCTATCTGTTACTATGGGAGCAGGTGACTCTACTCCTGGGCTTCTACTCCGCTTTAGTCACACCCTTCGAGTTCGCCTTCCTGGCGGACAGCATGCCCGTCTGGCTGACGTGGCTTGACGTGGCAGTCAACTTCTGCTTCCTGACCGACCTCCTGCTCACGTTCTTCGTCGCGTTCAAGGACAAGCACACCTACACGCTCGTCACAAGCCACTGGAAGATCGCTGAGAGGTGAGTTAAGGGTAGGGTAAGCAGTGAGGTGAGAGAGGAGGGTGGGGTGAGAGAGCGAGAGGGTTCGCCGCCCCAGTCGTCTCCTGGTGACGTTCTTCGTCGCGTTCAAGGACACGTGAACGTTCAAGCACACGTACGCCCTCGTCACAAGCCACTGGAAGATCGCTGAGAGGTGAGGGAAAGGGGGTGAGGCCACTCATTGTCATGGTAACACTTCCTGGCCGACCTGCTGGGAACCCGCTTTGTCGCGTTCAAGGACAAGCACACGTACACGCTCGTTACAAGCCACTGGAAGATCGCTGAGAGGTGAGTGAAAGGGAGAGAGTGAGGTGAGAGGGTAGAGGGGATGGGGCGAGAGAGGGAGAGGGTTCGCCGCCCCAGTCGTCTCCTGGTGACGTTCTTTGTTGCGTTCAAGGACAAGCACACCTACACGCTCGTCACGAGCCACTGGAAGATCGCTGAGAGGTGAATGGGGGAAAAACAGAGCAGTGGGGCATAGAGATTTTAGGGAAAATTTTAGGGGATGCGGCCAGCCAGGCGGGGATTGGAGGGAAGAGGGTGAGGGAGAGGGTGGTGGGAAGGGGGTGGGTAAGGGGGTGGGTCCACTCACTGTCATAATAACACATTCCGCTGCTCTCACGCTTCCCCTTGAACCTCCACTCCCTCTCTCCCCTCCTCCTCCGCTTTCCCATTTTCCTTTCTGGTGCGCCGTCTCCTTGCATCGCCTTGCTGGCATGTGTCTCTTCTCCTTTCCCCTCCTCTTCTCCTTTGCCAGCTCTTCTGCGCTCTACTTGCGCTCGAATCTCCTCCCGCTCTTCCCGTTTCCCTGCGCTCATTGCTTTCTCTGCACCCACTGCTGACAACCCCCCCTTTGCCACACTCCTCCCTCCCCCGCCCTCGTCGCCTTGCTGCAGATACCTCTTCTCCTACTTCCTTACGGATCTCCTCGCAATCTTCCCCTGGAACACCTTTTACCAGGTAGGCATAACAATAGAGTCAACTCAATGTTGCTTGTGGCATCGTAAGGAATTGACTCGTGGGCCTGCTCATGCTCTTTTCTCGTGAATTTCTCCCAACCCACCCACCCATTCACCCACATTCCCACGCACCCATCCACCCACCAACGCACACTCGCCCTTCACCCCTTCCCCTCTCCCCCCATTCTGCCTTTGATCAGCTAGCCGGCGCCAGTGGAGCAGCCAACCTGCTGCAGTGGCTGCTGTGGACTCGAGTGCTCAGGATGAGACACCTATTCAGATACTTCCACAGGTGAACTGAACGGTGCCTTCAGGTGGTTTTTCAGGTTCTTCAGCTAATCACAACCGCATACCTGTTCCTGGTTCAGGTATCTCTAGTAATAATCTAGTGCTTGGAGTTTCCTTCTTGGGGAACTTGAGTTGAGAGCCCAACCTCTCCTTGCCGCTCCCTCTACCCCTTCGCCCTCCCCACCCCCTATTTCCGCCTCCCCTTACCCCTGCCCCCTCACCCTGCTCTTCTATCCTCCCCTCACTCCCGACCCACCAGGTTACAGCGAGACATCCGCCTGAGCTACTTTGCCGTCCGCTTTCTCAAGCTAATCATAGTGGAGATGTACATAACGCACGTGGCGGGCTGCTTCTTCTACCACCTCGCCACCACCATGCCGCCCGAGGACCAGGGCCTTCCAGGCCTAGAAACAAGCAACTTCTTCTAACCGGACCTCTCTGCCCTTGTTCCCTGCCACACACACCCATACCCCCACTACCAGGTTACAGCGTGACATCCGGCTCAGTTACTTTGCCGTCCGTTTCCTCAAGCTGATCATAGTGAAGATGTACATAACGCACGTGGCGGGCTGCTTCTTCTACTACCTCGCCACCACCATGCCGCAGCAAGACCAGGGCTTCATGCCTTTGAGGGCCTCTAACGAAGCTGCTTCTTCTCACCGCCTTGCCTCGCCTCTCCCACTTTCCGTCTCCTTGCTCCCTGCTGCACCCCCACCCACCAGGTTACAGCGTGACATCCGGCTGAGCTACTTTGCTGTCCGTTTCCTCAAATTAATCATCGTGGAGATGTACATCACACATGTCGCGGGCTGCTTCTTCTACTACCTCGCCACCACCATGCCGCCGCAAGACCAGGGCTACACCTGGATCGGCTCCCTCACCCTCGGCGACTTCTCCTACGAGAATTTCCGCGAAGTTGACCTGTTCACGAGATACGTGACGGCGCTGTACTGGTCCGTGGTGACCATGGCGACCATCGGCTATGGGGATATTCATCCGGTGAATCCGAGGGAGATGATCTTTGCCATGTTCTACATCACAGTCGACCTCATCCTCTCAGCTTATCTCATCGGTAAGTGGGAGCTTCCTGGGGGGGGTGGATCTGTTCACGAGATACGTGACGGCTCTCTACTGGTCCATGGTGACCATGGCGACCATCGGTTATGGAGATATTCACCCCGTCAACCCCAGGGAGATGATCTTTGCGATGTTCTACATCACAGTCGATCTGATCCTCTCGGCTTACCTCATTGGTTAGTGTGCCTCTCAGTACTAAAGTACCTCAATGTCTCGCTGGTGCTGGATACGGGGATATTCATCCTGTGAATCCCAGGGAGATGATCTTCGCCATGTTCTACATCACAGTGGATCTGATTCTTTCCGCTTATCTCATCGGTGAGTCTCGCTCTCAGTAGTGGGTCTGGATGGCGCTGTACTGGTCCGTGGTGACCATGGCCACGATCGGCTATGGGGATATTCACCCCGTCAACCCCAGGGAGATGATCTTTGCCATGTTCTACATCACAGTGGATCTGATTCTTTCCGCTTATCTCATTGGTGAGTGTGATGCTTGTGGTCACCATGTTACCAGAGGGGGTTATGGGGGTGTACAGGGTTTAGGGTATCTACTGTGCTCAGGACATCCTGTCTTGCAGCTTACCTTCTCACATCTCCCTTCTTCCAGGAAACATCACTGCACTTGTGGTGAAGGGGAGCAACACCACCAAGTAACCCGAGCGCATGGCGCAGGTCATCAAGTGCACTCTCTCTCTTACCTCATCTCTCCCATAACCCCTCCTCTCCATCCCTCCATCCAGGAAACATCACCGCACTGGTGGTGAAAGGCAGCAACACTACTAAGTACAGGGAGCGCATGGCGCAGGTCATCAAGTACATGAACCGCAACCGCATTCCCAGGGTGTTGCGACACCAGATGCGTCAGGTGAGAACAGCAGATGCGGCAGGTGAACGCAACAGAGGTAGATGTGACGAATTGGTGAGCCAGGTGGGAACAAAAGACGAGCCAGGTGAAAATTATCATAATTCTAGCCACTAACCACTGGGATAAAATGGCATGTTAAGTAGCGGGCGAGTGCGTCCATAACCCCCCAAGCTCTGAACCTGTAACCATCCTTAGGATCAATTGAGGATCGCCGGTGCAGGTCTTTTAACAAAAAAAACAGAGACATGTGTGAAGAATTGGTGAGCCATGTGTGAAGAATTGGTGAGCCATGTGAGCAACAGACGGCCAGATTATCCGGAATCTTCTTGCATCACTGCACGTGCGGTTGCAATTTGAGACTTGTTTTGGGACGTCTCAAATCTCAAAACTGAGACGTCTCAAAACCGGATCTCCTTGCATCATAACGCGTGCAGTTGCATTTCAAGACGGGCCAGGTGGAGGATACCATTCTCAACGACTCTCTTTCTCCGCACTTCTCCTTCTCCTTCTCTTGCACCATTCTCCTGGCCTTCTCGACGACTTCCGTGTCCTTTTCTATCGCTTCTCACCTCCCTCGTTTTCGTCCCTCTCACAGCACGTGCGCCTGCAGTTTGAAACGGATCAAGTGGAGGACAACATTCTGAACGACTTCCCTGTGAGCATCCGCCACAAGGTGGCACGGGCTTTATACAGGCGGCTGGTGGAGCAGAGCTACATCTTCCAAGGCTGCTCGCCTGAATTTATTAACCAGATTGTAAGTGTTTTAACCCCTCACCACTCCTCACCACTCCTCTCCACTCCTCTTCACTCCACTACTCTCCGTTCAACATTCTGAAGGACTTTCCTAAGAGCATCCGCCAAAAGGTGGCACGGGCTTTAAACCGGCGCCTGGTGGAACAGAGCTACATCTTCCAGGGCTGCTCTTCCGAATTCATCAACCAGATCGTGAGTGGTTGGGAGCGGTGGAGGTTCTTGTGCGGTACAGACAGTGCTTGTGAGCTGTAGCAATAGCGTCAAGCCAAACTGCTGCTTTAAACCGGCGCCTGGTGGAGCAGAGATACATCTTCCAGGGCTGCTCGCCCGAGTTCATCAACCAGATCGTGAGTGGTTGGGTGCGGTGGGGATGGTTCTATAGGCAGGGCATGTGCCTGGACTTGCAACATTCTCAACGACATCCCGTAGTGGTAGTGCTAATGGTAATGGTAGTGGTAATGTCAATGGTAGTGGGAATGGTAATGGCAATGGTAATGGTAATATTAGTGGTAATGGTAGTGGTAATGGTAATGGTAGTGGTAATGGTATTGGTATTGGTATTAGTATTGGTAATTGTAGTGGTAGTGTAGTGGTAATGGTAATGTTAATGGTAATGGTAATGGTAACAGTATTGATAATGGTAGTGGTAGTAGTAATGGTATTGTTATTAGTAATGGTAATGGTAATGGTAATGATAGTGGTAATGGTAATGGTAATGATAATGGTAATGGTAGTGGTAATGATAATGGTAATGGTAGTGGTAATGGTAATGGTAATGGTAATAGTAATGGTAATGGTAATGGTAGTGGTAGTGGTAATGGTAATAGTAATGGTAGTGGTAATGGTAATGGTAATGGTAATGATAATGGTAATGGTAATAATAGTGGTAATGGTAGTGCCAATGATAATGGTAGTATTAATAATAATGGTAATGGTAATGGTAGTGGTAATGATAATGGTAATGGTAATGGTAATGATAATGGTAATGATGATGGTATAGTAATGGTAATGATAATGGTAATGGTAATGATAATGGTAATAGTAATGATAATGGTAATGGTAGTGGTAATGGTAATGGTAATGATAATGATAATGGTAATGGTAATGATAATGGTAATGGTAATGATAATGGTAATGGTAATGGTAATGGTAATAGTAATGGTAATGGTAATAGTAATGATAATGGTAATGGGTATGATTTTGGTGCTGGTAATGATATTGACCAAGGTAATACCAGAGCACTATTTCCCCTCAGAGGTGGTGGTTCAGCACTGCGACTCCCCCGAGCGCCTCTACATCATCTGCTTTGGTTCCCGAACCTTGCACCCCACCCCACCCCACCCCACCCCACCCCACCCCACCGCACCCCACTGCACCCCACCCCACCTCGCCCACACACCAGGTGCCCAAGATAACGCCGGAGCACTACTTCCCATCGGAGGTGGTCATTCAGCACAAGGACTCCCCCGAGCGCCTCTACATCATCTGCTCTTATTCCCATACCTCCCATCCGCATCCCACCCCACCCAACCCAGATGACCAAGGTAACACTAGAGCACTACTTCCCTTCAGAAGTGGTGATTCAGCACAGAGACTCCCCCGCGCGCCTCTACATCATCTGCTGTTATCCTCCACTCAAACTCAGCTTCCCCGTCTCCCCACCCCATCCCTTCCACTGCACCCCACTCCACCACACCCTCCAGGTCACCAAGGTAACCCTAGAGCACTACTTCCCTTCAGAGGTGGTGATTCAGAACAGGGACTCCCCCGAGCGCCTCTACAACATCTGCTCTTATTCCCATAGCGCCCAACCAAACCCACCCCACCCCACCCCACCCAACCCAACCCCACCCCACCCACCAGGTGACCAAGGTAACACCAGAGCACTACTTCCCCTCGGAGGTGGTGCTTCAGCACAGAGACTCCCCCGAGCGACTCTACATCATCTGTGCGGGCAGTGTGGAGGAGACCTCCCCGTCCTCCTCTGCCGACGGCGGCAGACGCTTTTCAGAGCTCGGCACAGGCTCGGTGAGTTTGCCTTGCCCGCTTTGCATGGACCCTTGGGGTCAGTGGGACTCCTTTCTTCCCCTACCCCGCACCCCCGAGCGACTCTACATCATCTGTGCGGGCAGTGTGGAGGAGACCTTGTCAGAAATAGGCTTAGAAGCGATGCATTAGTAATGAGCTTGAAGCTCTTTAAGTACATCCAAGAGGGGTAGGAAAAGGATGGGGAAGGGAATCGGGGGCAATCTCTAGGGATTGGGGGTAATCCCAAGGCAATCTCCAATTGGTGGGTTGGAGATTGGTTGGAGATTACATTTGGGTTTGGTTGGGATGTAGGTGTACACCCAACCAAACACAATGTGCAAACTACACTACTCTAGGATATAGAAAATACAAAGTACAAATTGTGAGATTGAAGACTAACACTAACACCCCCCCATAGGCGTCAATCGAACTCAGGGTAGAGAGGGTGGAGCACAGAGCCCCATGGCGCCAAGGAGACGGTGGTGGGGAACTTTCCCAAGGGGCTTGGTGAACAGATCAGCCAGGTTGCAGTCAGATGCAACGTATTCCACTTTCAACTGCTCTTGTTGGACAAGGTCACGGATGAAGAAGTGCCGGAGTTCAATGTGCTTGGTGCGGGTGTGATACACAGGGTCTTGAGAGATGTGGATGGTACTCTGGTTGTCACACCAGAGGGTAGGGGCGGACTGTGGGAAACCAAGTTCCTGGAGGAGGAAGGTGAGCCAACGAGCCTCCTGAGCAGCCATGGTGCCTGCGTAGAGCTCTGCCTCACATGAGGAGAGGGAGACTGCAGACGACCTGGTGGAGCGCCAACTGACAATTCCGCTCCCAAGGGTGAAGCAGTACCCCTGAGAGGAGCGTCGGTCGGTCTGGTCATCAGCCCAGGAGGAGTCGGTGTAACCCTCTAGGCGAGGAGGGGAGAGCCCACCGAGTGTGAGGACGTGAGACTTGGTGCCCTGAAGATAGCGCAGCACCCGCTTGGCTGCCTTCCAGTGAAGACTAGTGAAGCGTCCAGGGGCCACGTAGCGAGAGAGGACACTGACAGGATAGGCCAGGTCTGGCCGGGTGCACATCATGGCGTACATGAGGGACCCAACAAGCTCCGGGTATGGCTCAGAGCAGGCCTCTGGTGTGGGTACCGCTGGAGCTGTGAGGAGGTGTTGCAGCGGCAGCGGGGTGGCAACAGGTGTGCATAGCTCCATCTCAAATCGCTTGAGCACATTGTCGATGTAGAACTCCTGGGAGAGTGAGATGGTGCGAGCCTTGCGATCACGAGTGATCTCCATCCCCAGGTAGTGCTTGAGGTCACCGAGGTCTTTCATCTGGAGAGCCTTGCTTAGGGCTGCCTGGACTGAGGTCATCTGGGCCGAGTCCTTGGCCACGAGGATGAAATCATCCACGTAGACTAGGATGTAGAAGGGCTCAGAATGACGGCGGATGAAGAGAGTCGGGTCAGCAGTTGAAGGGTGGAAGTCCAGGGAGAGGAGGACTTCTTTCACCTTGTTGTGCCATTCGCGAGGGGCTTGCTTAAGGCCGTAGACGGGGCGATTCAGCTTCCAGACAGTGTTGGGAGGGAAATCTCCTGGGAAGCCTTCTGGTCTGTCCATGAACACTGTCTCCTTGAGACGTCCTTGTAGGAAGGCGGATGAGGCATCCATGGATTTGATCTCGAAGTCTTCTCGAGCTGCGACATCCATGAGCGTACGAATGGTGGGAGGTTTGGATGTGGGGGAGAAGGTTAGGAAGAAGTCGCGGTACTGCTGCTGGGTGAAGCCCTTGGCTACGTAGCGCGCTTTAAACACCGGTGCCTCGTCTGGGAGCTGTTTTACACGGAACAACCACTTGCCCCCGACGATGTTGACTCCTGGAGGTGGAGTCTCGTCGTCGAAGGAGTGGTTGCGGGTGAATGCTGCAATCTCCGCGTCCATGGCAGCACGCCATTTGGCAGAATGAGGGCCTGAGAGAGCCTCTTGGACGGTGAGAGGGATAGGGATGGTCGGGTTCTCCGCGAAGTTGAGGGAGGGTGAGCCAGTGATGTCGGGGAAGATGTGTGAGAGCTGAGGAAGGACTGCATGGAGATCACACAGTTCCTCATGCCTGTCTTCTAGAAGGGTAGAGGGCACATCCCCCCCAGCAGGAGGAGGCGGTGTGATCGCGGTGTATCGAAGAACCATCGCGAGTGGAAGAGTAGCGCGATGTGAGCGAGTGCCATGAGCCACCGGGGAAGAGGGTGGGGCTGGCGGGGTCGGAGAGGGTGACTTAGCAGGCTTGGGCGGGGGAAGGGGTCGCCGGCGGTACGTGATCAGCTCGGGCGACTGTGGGAGAGCGGGTTCCTCTGTGGTGGGGGGAGCCGGGGGAGGAGGTGGGGCCGGAGGGTGGGACCGCCGATGGTAGGTGATAGGTGCGCTCGGAGGGGGCGGCGCAGCGGGAAGTGGGGAAGGTGAGGGGGAGGGAGGAGCAGCTGCCGAAGACACCGGTGAGGCCGGGTCAGTGACCTCAGAGGGAGATGGTGCGATGGCAGGAGAGGGAGGAGGTGAGGGAGCAGGAGCAGGCGGGAGGTCGGGAGGCGCATCAAAGTCTGCCCACACGAGGGAGGGTGGATCAGGGAGAGGGTCCCGTCCCGAAGGGGAGTAGAATGGGCGGGTCTCATCAAAGACAACGTCACGGCTCCTGACCAACTGGTGAGTGGAGGGATTGAGGAAGAGGTAGTCAGGTGAGTCGGCGTTGTGCCCGAGGTAGATGCACGTCTGAGTCTTGGGACCGAGCTTGCCACCGTTATGCCGTCGAGCCTGAGGGTTGAGGAGGACATAGGCGGTGCATCCCCAAACGCGAAGAGAGCGAGCAGTGGGCGTTTTCCCGAGCCAGAGTGTGGTTGGAGTGGTGTCGGGAAGGTGCGGGTGGGGGTAAAGGTTGTAGAGGAGGGCAGCGTGGTAGAGAGCGTACCCCCAAAGAGAGTGAGGAGCGTTGGAGTGGCTGAGGAGGCACCGAGTGATCTGCACCAGGGTGTGGTTGCGGCTCTCAGCTATGCCGTTCTGTTGAGGGCTGTCAGGGAGGGTGAAGTTTTGCTGGATGCCTTCGGAGGAGCAGAAGGCTTTGAGCTTGTCGTTGCAGAACTCACCCCCCCCATCCGAGTGAAGGCGCTTGACCTTGCGGTCAAAAGTGGTCTGTGCCTGCTTGACCCACGCTATGATGACCTCGGGTGCCTCAGCCTTAGTGTGGAGGAGGTGAACAGAGACATAGCGGGAGTGGTCATCCACAATGATAAGGAAGTAGCGATAGCCACCTCGTGCGAGAACAGGGGCAGGGCCCCAGACGTCCATGTGCACGAGGTCCAGTGGTGCTGCAGCGATTGTGGGTGAGGTTGCATGGGGCTGTTGGCGCAGTTTGCTCTTGGTGCAATCAAGGCACGTGGGAGCTGGTGAGTCAGGTGGTGGAGGAAGTGCGGCTGGCAGGCCGAGGAGAAGTTTCTTGGAGGCCATGTCAGCAAGAGTGCGGAAATTTGGGTGCCCGAGCCGATGGTGGTAGAGGATGGTCGGGTTGGAGAGGGTGCGACATGAGCATGGTGTGATAGTGGCCTGTGCTTGGGTGGTTGACACCTGTGGGAGAGGGACGCGTAGCGTGTAGAGGCCGTTGCTGTTGAGGGTGTAGCGGGCCAGAGTTTTGTTGGTGCGTGGATCGATGATGTCGCAATAGTCCTCGTTCTCTGGGAAGATGGTGCGTAGCCCTGCCTCCTGAATTTCTGTTTGGGCAACTAGATTGTGACGCAGTGAAGGCACGCACATGCCAGTGACAGTGCCGGATGGGAAGGCGGGGCATGGGACTGTGGAGGTACCCTTGGCGAGGGTGGTGAAGCTTGAGTCAGCTCCTAAGAGAGGGATAGGTGTTGGGTAAGGTTTGAAGGAGAGGGTCTCCTTGAGCACGGTGTGAGTGGCCCCGCTATCGAGTGTGAACTCTATGTATTGTGGTGCGTGTGATGAGCCGATGTACTGTGAGGTAGCTTCATTAATCATGGCAGTGCCAGGGAACAACAGGTTGATACGCACATCAGCAGGAGCAGCATCACTAGCACTAGTCGAAGCGGGGTCCTGGACCTCAACTAGGTTGGCCTTGCGAGAGCGCATCCAATTCGGCGGCTTCTTGTCCACTCCGTGAATGGCGTACCATTCGTCGTCTTTCTTCTTGAAGCACGTGGCGAGGGGGTGGTTAGTGCCACCACACACTTGTCCCTTGCGATTCCCATACTTGACGACGTAGGGGCACGGAGGAAAGCGGTTGCGCTGGAAGGGCGCCGAGGCGAGAGCCGCTGCGACACTTGCTTGAGGCATGGGAGCGCGGATAGCGTACGCCTTGGCCTGAGCCGTGGAGTCTTTCTCGGCAGAGAGGAGTGCGGTGGAGACCTTAGCAAAGGTGAGGTCCTCTGCTGAGAGTGTGAGGAGCATCTTCCTCGTGACCTCATATGCCGAGGTGAGTCCAACAAGTAGGGCGGCTGCAGGGGCTTGCTCGGGGAAGACTATACCCAGCTCCTTGAGTTCGCCATGAATGGTCTGCACCTTGGCAATGTAATCGGCCATTCCCGAGCAGTCCTCAAGGCGGACCTGAAACATGCTAGGGATGAGAATGGCCACGCCGACCGCCGTCTTGTTCATGAACCGATCCTGGAGGTACTTCCAGATGGCGTTGGAGGTAGGGTAGTTATGGAACGTGTTGACAAGTTCGGGAGGGGTGGAGGCGATGAAGACGCTGATGATGGCAGCATCGGCCTTCTCCCATTTCCGGTACTTCTCAACAGCCTCCTCGTACGCCCTCACGTCAGTATCACTTGGAGATTCGGTCGGCTCACGGGGAATAGTAGGCTGTTTCCCCTTGCCACGGTTGAGGAGGACGTCCTTGAGGTCAAGGCCCTGCACGTCACGGCTCAGGAGGTGCTTGTCAACTCCGTAGCTCCACGCCTTGAAGTTGGAGCTAGAGCCATCAGCTTCAAGGCGGAGCGGGGTGATGGGGTTCGCCATGGTGGAAGACGAGAGAGCCATGGTGGAGACCCCTTCTCGCGCGGAGCGCCGCTCTTAAGTCACCGATAGGAAATGAGCGGCGCGCAGCGCGGCGATTCCGAAATCCGACGGACCGGAATAGCGAAAATCGTCAATGTCGGCCGCGTCGGAATGTCACGTAGAAGGTTTTTTTTTCTTTCTTTCTTTTCAGGCCGCCAAAATTAGGTCGAATCGGCCGATTTCCGTAGATCTATCACTAATCCCACACATCCCCCCACACACCACCCTCGGCTTCGCGGCTACACGGCTGCTCTGCTTCGCGGCTACACGGCTGCTCGGCTGCGCTGCTGCACCTGTTCAGCTGCGGGAAGGGGGAAGGGGTAGGAGTGCAGATGCGGGGCGACGGGCGGCAGCCCGACGTGAAGCTGCGGGGCGACGGGCGGCGGCCCGACGAGAAGCTGCAGGGCGACGGGCAGCAGCCCGACGAGAAGCTGCGAGGCGACGGGCGGCGGCCCGACGAGAAGCTGCAGGGCGACGGGCGGCGGCCCGACGTGAAGCTGCGAGGCGACGGGCGGCGGCCCGACGAGAAGCTGCGGGGCGACGGGCGGCGGCCCGACGAGAAGCTGCGGGGCGACGGGCGGCGGCCCGACGTGAAGCTGCGAGGCGACGGGCGGCGGCCCGACGAGAAGCTGCAGGGCGACGGGCGGCAGCCCGACGAGAAGCTGCAGGGCGACGGGCGGCGGCCCGACGAGGAGGAAAGCGAGCGTTAGGTTATAGCGCGGACGATGCGCTTACCAGATAAATTACCGTCGAAAGTGACGGGAAGGTGCAGCGGGAAAATTTCCGCCGACGAATGTCGCGAATCACCGGCGACGAGGTTGACGATGGCTTCGCCGAGGTTTGCGGGACGAGTATCCGCAGAGGTAAGAAGATCACGATCCGCGTATGCGGTTGAAGGGCTCTGATACCATGTCAGAAATAGGCTTAGAAGCGATGCATTAGTAATGAGCTTGAAGCTCTTTAAGTACATCCAAGAGGGGTAGGAAAAGGATGGGGAAGGGAATCGGGGGCAATCTCTAGGGATTGGGGGTAATCCCAAGGCAATCTCCAATTGGTGGGTTGGAGATTGGTTGGAGATTACATTTGGGTTTGGTTGGGATGTAGGTGTACACCCAACCAAACACAATGTGCAAACTACACTACTCTAGGATATAGAAAATACAAAGTACAAATTGTGAGATTGAAGACTAACACTAACAGACTTCCCCGTCCTCCTCTGCCGACGGTGGCCGGCACTTTGCCGAGCTCGGCACCGGCTCGGTAAGTGGGGCTGTTGTACTTCTTTTCTTGCTGTGGGGTGTGGGGTGGGGGATATGATATGGGATGGGGTTGTGACGTGTGGAAGAAACCTCCCCTTCCTCCTCTGCTGACGGCGGCAGGCACTTTGCTGAGCTCGGCACAGGCTCGGTAAGTGGGCTTGCTGTTTCAATACTTCTTACTATTTGGGGGGTGGTGGGGATGTGTGGTGAGGCCTTGAATGCCGCTGTGGGACCCCCTTCCCCCTCCTCTTCCCACCTGAGCGCCTCTACATCATCTTCCTGCGCTGCACACCTGCCCACCTGCCCACCTGCTCACCTGCCCACCTGCCCACCTGCCCACCTGCCCACCTGCCCACCTGCCCACCTGCCTCCTTCTCCTCCTTCAGATGTTTGGCGAGGTCGCAGTGCTGTGCAACATTCCTCAGCCCTTTGACGTGTCGGTCATCGAGTTCTGCCAGGTGCGCCTTTACGAGTGGGACCTTACCAAGCAAGCTGGTATAGTTCAAGTTTTAGTATCCGCATGATTGCTAAGGGAGGTGGCAGTGCTGTGCAACATTCCTCAGCCCTTTGACTTGTCGGTCATCGAGTTCTGTCAGGTACGTCCGTTCGAGTTCCTCATTTAGTATAAAATGTTTTCGTGTGCTCATACCATCACAGTTCAGAACTCGTTTCTACTTAATTCGCTCACAACATGCCAATCAAGCCCGCCCAACCCTTGCGGCCACCCAGGTGCTTCGGCTGGAGCGGGACGATTTGAACACGGCTATTGCCACGTTCATGGTGGATGGAAGGAAGATTGTCGACAACCTGCTGGAGGTGAGCGAGTGCTTATGCATGGGTAGAATGTGTGTGCTGCCACCCAGGTGCTGACTGGGACTGTAGCGGGACGATTTGAACACGGCGATCAACACGTTCATGGTGGATGAAAGGAAGATTGTTGATAATTTGGTGGAGGTGAGTGGGTGCTTATAAGTGAGTAGAGTACTCTTGCTGCCACGCATGTGCTTCTTCGGCTGGAACGGACGATCTAAACACGGCAATCAACACGTCCATGGTGGAGGGAAGGAAGATTGTCGACAACCTGCTGGAGGTGAGTCGGTGGGTGGCTGCATTTGCGTTTGAGTGGGACACTCCTGCTGCCACCGAGGTGCTTCGGCTGGAGCGAGATGATTTGAACACAGCCCGGCCGTCAACACGTCCATGGTGGACGGAAGGAAGATTGTAGATAATTTGCTGGAGGTGAGTGACGGCTTGTGATTCTGAGAAGAACAGTCACGGGCTGCGGTTGAGTCGACTCAAAAGGAGTCTGCTTTTGAGTGGACTCAAAAGGAGGTGAGTGACGGCTTTTTAGTCTGAGAAGAACAGTCACGTGCTGCGGCTGGAGCGGGATGATTTGAAAACAGCCGTCAACACGTCCATGGTGGATGGAAGGAAGATAGTTGACAACCTGCTAGAGGTGAGTGGGTGCTTATCAGTGAGTAGAGTACTCTTGCTGCCACGCATGTGCTTCTTCGGCTGGAGGGGAGGGGCGATCTGAACACGGCCGTTGCCACGTTCATTGTGGACAGAAGGAAGATAGTTGACAACTCGTTGGAGGTATGTGTGTGCGTGCGTGCGTGCGTGCGTGCATGTGTGTGTGATCGTGCGTGCGTGTGTGTGTGTATGTGTGTGTGTGTGTGTGTACGTGTGTGTGTGTGTGTGTGTGTGTGTGTGTGCGTGTGTGTGTGTGTGTGTGTGTGTGTGTGCGTGTGTGTGTGCGTGTGTGTGTGTGTGTGTGTTCCCCTCTCTCCGTGCTGTGACTGTGCTTTCACAATGAACCTGGCATTTGAAGCCAGCTCCATTCCACCTCCACCCCCCTGCCCTGCCTCTCATCCCCCTTCCAGCGCACGACGGAGACAGGCAGGCAGCAAATACGCACTACTGGCATCAGAAATCACGTCTCTGATCGCGCAGCAGGAGGCTGAGCTCACGATGACGACCCCTCCCACCAGCCCACCTACCCCTCTTCCCATCCTATCCTATCCCATTCCATCCCATCCCATCCCATCCCCTTCCCCCTCCTTCCCCCATCCCCATCCCAACCCCAGCGCACAATGGAGACAGGCAGCAAGTACGCATTGCTGGCATCAGAGATCACATCGCTGATCGCGCAGCAGGAGGCAGAGCTCACGATGACGACAACCCCTCCCACCCGTCCCACCAACCTACCCACCCCTCTTCCATCCCATTCCATTCCCCTGCCTTCCATCCCCCAGCGCACAACGGAAACAGGCAGCAAGTACGCATTACTGGCGTCCGAGATCACATCGCTGATCGCCCAGCAGGAGGCAGAGCTCACGATGACGACAACCCCTCCCACCCGTCCCACCAACCTACCCACCCCTCTTCCATCCCATTCCATTCCCCTGCCTTCCATCCCCCAGCGCACAACGGAAACAGGCAGCAAGTACGCATTACTGGCGTCCGAGATCACATCGCTGATCGCCCAGCAGGAGGCAGAGCTCACGATGACGACCATCTATGCGGCTTCGCGGGGGGACGTAGAGCACCTGAAGAAGCTGATCAAGGCTGGGGCGAATGCCAGCAAGGCGGATTACGATGGGCGCACACCATTGGTGAGTATAGTGGTGGTGAGGGGGGGGATGGCACCGTTGCTCATGTGTAGCAGGAGAGAGAAGAGAAGTGGGGGGGGGAGAGAAGAGAAGTGGGGGGGGGGGGGCTGAGCTCACGATGAAATTGCTTTTGAGAATGACCCATGAATGACTCATCAATGACTCATCGAAATCACTGTCGATGCAGCGGAGTCACTATGACAAAAGTCGATGACTATCACTGTCAGAAGTGATTTCACAAACGTCGTCATGGCTGAGTTCCCCATGACAACTATGGCACCACAGCCGTCATCCGAGGTTCACATACACTTCCCCCATCCACCCCATCACTCCCCTCCCATCCCTTGCATCTCCCCATTCTCCCCCCAGCACCTGGCAGCAGCGGGGGGTTACGATGAAGTGGTGCGATTCCTACTCCTGGAAGGAGCGGACGTGAACAGCCTGGATAACGTCTGTCCCCCAGCACCTGGCAGGCAGCAGCAGGCGGGTATGACGAGGTTGTGCGATTCCTGCTGTTGAAAGGCGCCGATTGAACAGCCTGGACAATTTTGGCACCACGTCGCTGCTGGAGGCGCCTCATCTCCCCATCGTTCCCCCGCCTCTCCCACACCCCTCCCCTCCCACCTCTCTGCCCCAGCACCTGGCAGCAGCAGGGGGCTATGACGAGGTGGTTCGATTCCTACTACTGGAGGGCGCGGATGTGAACAGCCTGGACAACTTCGGCACCACGCCGCTGCTGGAGGCACCTCATCTCCCCCATTCTCCCCCCCACCTTACCCCAGCACCTGGCAGCGGCGGGTGGTTATGACGAGGTGGTGCGTTTCCTACTCCTTGAAGGCGCGGATGTGAACAGTCTCGACAACTTCGGCACCACGCCGCTGCTGGAGGCACTGCGGGCGGGCAATGACTCGACTGCTAAGATACTGACAGACAAGCATGGCACGGTCAACCTTCAGGTGAGAGAGTGTTTAGAGTGTTACGGTATGGAGTGCGAGTGTATGACGTCGTTCGCTTCCTGCTGCTTGAAGTTGCGGATGGGAACCGAGTAGACCTTGACAATGGAGGGCATCACACTCCCCTCCCTTCGCATCCAAGTTCCTCCCCACTCCCGTGTTCCGCCCTTCTCATCCCCCACCCATCCTTTCCAACCCCCACCCGAATCACTCTCACTTCATTTCCTCCAAATTCTTGTTTCCGAGGAAGCAGACACGGATCTGTGCAATGCAGTGATGAGGGGGGACATGGGCCTCCTAAGGAGACTGCTGGTCAACGGAGTCAACCCCAATGCAGCCGACTACGACCTCCACATCGCATCACCCCTGCTCCCCTTACACACAACCGTCCCCTCGCTCCCAACTTTCACCACCATCTCGTTCCCCTCCCCTCCCATCTCCTCCCCATCCTGCCTTCCGCCTACCCACACCCACCCACATAAACCCGTCTCCCAAAAAGCAGGCACAGACCTATGTAACGCAGTGATGAGGAGAGTTACAAGCCTCCTAAGGAGACTGCTGGTCAACGGAGTCAACCCCTATGCAGCCGACTACGACCTCCCAATGCCCGCTTTCCCACTTTCCATCCCCTTGCCTCCCACATAACAGGAAGCATGAACGGACCTGTGCAATGCGGTGATGAGGGGTGACACGGGGCTGCTGAGAAGACTGCTGGTCAACGGGGTCAACCCCAACGCAGCCGACTACGACCTCCGCACGCCCCTCCACATCGCATTCGCCGAGGGATTCGTCCAGGTGGCGCGCCTGCTGGTGGAGCACGCAGGAACGGACCTGAGCGCGACTACGACCTCCGCACGCCCCTCCAATGCCCGCATTCCCACTTTCCATCCCATTTTCCCCCACATAACAGGAAGCAGGCACGGACCTGTGCAATGCGGTGATGAGGGGTGACACGGGGTTATTAAGGCGACTGCTGGTCAACGGAGTCAACCCCAATGCAGCCGACTACGACCTCCGCACGCCCCTCCACATCGCATCCGCCGAGGGATTCGTCCAGGTGGCGCGCCTGCTGGTGGAGCACGGCGCCGACGTGGCAGCGTTGGATAGGTGGGGCAACTCGCCGCTGGATGAGGCGCGCCGATGTGGCAGCCTGCCATTGATCCACCTGTTGGAGGAGGCCATGCGGGAACGGGGGCTTGTGATTGGTGGGGGATCGATTGAGGATGGTGCTGACAGAGAAGGCGGAGAGGAAGGAGCAGGAGCAGAGGCAGAATCAGGGATAGGGAAAGCAGCAGCAACAGCAGCAGTAGCGTCAGCAGCAGCAGCTGCAATGGGTGCTACAGCCGTGCCTGCTGCTTCACTCAGCGCCAATGCTGCTGCTGCTGCTGGAGCATCTCCTGTGGCAGCAGCAGCCACTGCAACACCAAGCCCTGCTGCCATACCCGCTGCTGGTGCCCCCGCAACTACTGCTTCTGGTACCTCCACTACTGCTGCTGCTCCTGCTGCTGCTGCTGGTGTGGCAGCTTCAGCCAGTCCCTATGCATCCACACCATCTCCCACCCCCTTCCCTCACTCAAACTCCGCGACAGCACAGCTTCCCTCCACCCGTCCTCCTCCCATCCCCAACTCCCACTCCCTCACACACTCCCAACCCTCCCCCCTCCTCTGCCCTGCTGACGCGGACTGGGACCGAATCACCGAGGACGGCTCGGCAACTCCCCGGATCGCCATGTCAGGCTCGGCAACGCCGCTTTTGAGTGGGCCCGGCACGCCCCAGAGGAGAGGTCCGGGAACGTCGCCTGGGAGGGCGCAATGGAGGCCTCCGGCTGGAGGTGGTGGGGTGAGGAGGACAGGGGGGAGGGCTGGAGGGATGGGGTATGGCGGCGGCGCTGGTGCTGCTGGTTCGGCTGGTGGTGCTGGCATGGGGAGGCTGGTTCCTTTGGGGCCCAAGGTGAGAAGTATTGGTTATTCTACTAGTATTACATGTATGTTGTTTCCCTTCTTGCTTGCGGTCGTCATTTTGAAGAGCTCTGAGTCTCTTTCTTTGTTTAATATACATCCACAAACGTGGTATGTCCAACACACAGGCTCCCCACCATCCAATGTACACAGCTGCCCTCCTGAAAATTTAACACCATTTTTTCTCCTTACTCCCCTTTCCCACTCCCTTCGCATTCATCCTTGGTTTCTCCCTCTTCTTGTCAGAGAATCACCGTGTTCCCCTTTCCCCCATGGGAGCTAAAGCCTCAGAGAGTTGGGCAGCTTATGCCGCTCCCTCCATCCATCCCTGATCTCCTATCAACTGCTTCCAGCATTTTTGGCGCGTCTTTTGTTGGTTTGGTTGGGAGCGATTCGGGGGTTGTAACAACCATTGATTTAATTAGGGATGGAGATAAGTTATTTCTACTGAAGGCAAATGAGATGCAAGGAGATGCCCAGGCAGGTGGGCAGTAGATGCCGTTTATTGAAGACCATGAATCCTTACCGATGCCATATCATCTATATGCAGTGTATATGTAATTTGTATTTAATTGAGATACAATGCGTCATGCGTCCATAAAAGCGACTACTAGCTGATGTAGAAAGTGGTCCCATCTGTACCGCGCAAGCTTCAAGCGGAAAAGCCGAAGTCCCTTCGAACTTCCACTTCGGCCACGTCATCAGCGACAGCGCCATAACCGAGGAGCTTACTTCAATGAAAGAGGCAGGAAGGGCGGTACAGATCGACGTCAGTCGGTTTGAATCGGTTTGACAAGAATCAGGCAGGTCTTGCAAGGAGGGAGAGGATGACTGAGATGGCCTTTCTGCGAAGTCTGGACATGGACAGCCCCAAAAGTGCAGATTTTTTCGTCCACCCTGGCAGCTTCCACGTCTACCCCATCTGCAAACCGATTCTGATGTGTGTGATCGTCTGGGGAATGCGAAACCTAACGCCCAATCAGAATTGCATGCGCGACTCAATTTACACTCAGCGTTCGCAACCCGAAACCCTCGACAGATTCTCGCCACACGTCAATGGGTCTCATCGTGGGGGGTCTTCGCACGTTCAGGGTCTGTGAACTCATGCGATGTCCAGATGCGTTGCCTTCCACATCATCACAATGACTACTCTCTTGCACGTGCGAAGTGCACTATTCGCTGTCCCTACTTAGAACTTCGGACAGCCCAGGAAGGCAATCTGATTGGGCTGGGTGAGGGAAAAACAGCTCAACCCTCATGCTTTCCCCTACGGTTTCCCATCACTCATGTTTCCCGCTAATGACATCGCTCCACCAGTGGTTGAAGCAGGTGATTATATCCCAAGGTTACAGCTACTCCTTAGTTGATTGATGTGATCTCGAATTACCTTCGTGCCCGTATTCCTGTCCTGGCTCGTATTCTCAGAAGGGTCTCCCGTTCCTATTAAGTTTGGTTTCGTCCCGTCGCCGAGAGAAGATAGATTTGAATAATGGACTTAGCGACACCGTTTCTCGGCGACGTTCGCCTGGTTGATCTTTCGCGCCCTTCGCCGTCGTCTCGCCCTTCCACGAGCCCAAGTCATCTCATTTTACGTTCTCCTCTCCCGTCATTACCACCTTGTCGCGTCAGTCCCTCACCTAAGTGTAACTTAGCTAAACGTCCAGCGCGTCCGGTCCCTCCGCGACCGAAGCCTCAGCTACCAACAGATCCCGCTCGTTTGAACGACTCTCAGGCTTCCCCCACGCTCGATAGTAGCACATCAGCTGCTGGAACGCTCTCACGGGAAGGAGACGGTTCCTTCCAGCCGCAAGCTGACGTTCCGCTTCTCCCCGGGGGGAACAAGCTCCCGTTTTCCTCCCGCATTCCCCCGCCGCCGCTTCCGCGGAGACCCGCCGCGACGCACCGTCTCCGCCGGCTGCGGAAGCGAACGGCCAACGGCACGTTCTACCTGTCGGACGAGCTCGCGGATATCACGGAGGTCTGGTCGTCGTCGATCCTCCTCCGTCCGCCGGCCGAATCCAACGGCGGAGATGCGCCGTCTGGAAACTCCCCTTTATCTCCTCCTCCTCCTGGGTCCGGCAATATCGAGGCGCCTACTTCATCAGGGGAAGAAGAGTCAGGAGAAGATTCGGTGGCATCCGAAAGCGGCTCGGGCGTAGCGACGTCGAGTGTGGTGTCAGAACTCGCGGCGCGAGTGGCGCGCGAGCCGGTAGAGACTGTCGAAAGCCTTGACCTGTCGCGAGTGCTTGAAACGGAAGTGGGACCGAACGGGGTTTTAACGGAAGGGGTGGCGTCGGCGGTGCTGGTAGATTTAAGCCGCGCGGGCAAGAGCCGGCATGCTCTGAAGCTTTTCGACTGGCTGAAGGTAATGTTTTGATTTATATGGTTGAGGTTTCGGGTTCTAGTCGAGGTTTTTGGCTTCGGGTTGCAGGGTTGAAGCTATTGATTTAAGCCCCGTTTTCTCTTCCTCCCTTACACCTTCTTGAACCCCTCTACACCCCCGCCAAACCCTCTTCTCCCGATCCTCCCCTCATCCAGGCCCGGGCGTTTCTCCTGTCCACGTCAGCACACACCGCGCTGATCGCCGCATTGGCGCGCAGCGGCCCGTACGCTGACGCGGCGCGTGTGCTGGCAGGCATGCGCGCCGCGGGATTGGCTCCCACCGTGCACGCGTGTACCGCGGCCATGCAGGCCCAATCACGCGGCGGCAGGTGGCGGGCGGCGCTGCTGCTATTGGAGGAGATGCGGGGCATGGGGCTGAAACCGGATACCATGGCTTATAACGCGGTTCTCACTGCATGTGGAAGGTGAGTGTATTGAAGGTGTGTGTTGAGAGGAGATGCGGGGCATGGGGCTGAAACCGGATGCGATGTCCTATGATGCCGTGCTGACTGCGTGTGGAAGGTGAGTGAGTGTGTGGAAGGGAAGGTGAGTGAGTGTGTGGAAGGGAAGGTGAGTGAGTGTGGAAGGGAAGGTGAGTGAGTGTGTGGAAGGGAAGGTGAGTGAGTGTGTGGAAGGGAAGGTGAGTGACTGTGTGGAAGGGAAGGTGAGTGAGTGTGTGGAAGGTGGGTGAATTGAAGTTGTGTGTGTGGGCAATGAACATGGAGATGGTGTGTGTTGAATCAGATGCGAGGTATGGGGTTGAAACCCAATACCATCTGCTATATCTCTTTCCCTTTGACTTTTCCCCTTCTCCCACATGCCTGTGTGCTCAGGGCCGGTCGCGTGCAGGAGGTGCTGGGAGTGTACCAGGCCATGCAGGACGACGAATGTCGCCCTTTTGTCCATCTCAGACTCCCTCAAACTGTCTCTCCCTCCCCCACACCCCCATCCCCACTCGTCCTCTCCAGGGCTGGTCGCGTGCAGGAGGTGCTAGCGGTGTACCAGGCCATGCAGGACGACGAATGTCGCCCTTTTGTCCATCTCAGACTCCCTCAAACTGTCTCTCCCTCCCCCACACCCCCATCCCCACTCGTCCTCTCCAGGGCTGGTCGCGTGCAGGAGGTGCTAGCGGTGTACCAGGCCATGCAGGACGACGAATGTCGCCCGTCCACCGGCACGCGCGCACTGCTCATGAGCACGTTCGTCCGCGCCGACCGCTGCGACCTGGCGCTGCAGCTCTTCTTTGACGCCAGGCTGGCAGGCCAGCCTGTCACGCCCGACATGCACAGAGGGTTGATTTGTGTTGCTTCAAAGGTGGGTAAATTCTGCCCTGTGTGGCTTTGTTGGTGTGTGTCAAGGGGATGAGCTGTGAGAGCCAACCGTTGCGCCCTGCCTGGCGCTGCAGCGCTTCTTTGACGCGCTGCTGGCAGGCCAGCCTGTCACCCCCGACATGTGCAGAGGGTTGATCTGTGTCGCTTCCAAGGTGAGTGAGTTGGTGGCTTGGTTGTGTGTGCGTGTGTGCGTTTATTGGCTTCATTGCTGTGTCAAGAGCCAACCACTGCAACTTGGCGCTGCAGCTACTCTTCGATGCCAGGCTGCCAGCCAGCCCGTCACCCCAGACATGCACAGGGGGCTGATTTGTGTTGCTTCCAAGGTGAGTAAATTCTTTTGTCTGTGGCATCCTGATTTTCCCTTTTGCTTCTTCTGCACCAACCGCCCCTCCCCCCGTCCCATTCCATCCTCCCCGTGATTCTACTATCAGGTGGGTTGCTGGCCCCTCACTCTCGACCAGCTAGACGATTTCCTTGCCACGTTCGATCCCTGTTGGCTCACCACCAGTACCTCTCCTCGCCCTCCCCCTCTTCCACATTGGCATCTCGCTCTCGACCTCTTGGACGATCTCCTTGCCGTGTCCGATCGATGTGGGCTCACTACCTTCCAACAGCCCTTCCTCACCTGCCCTTGCTCCCCTTACCCCTCGCCTTACCCCTCACTACCAGGTGGGTCGCTGGCCTCTCGCTCTCGACCTGCTAGACGATCTCCTTGCCACGTGGACAGACCCGGGGGTCACGGGTGAATTGGCAGCGGGTGCAGCTGCGGATGGTTCACAAGCTACCGCATCTGCTGACTCGCGTATGGAGGGTTGCCCTCCTGTTTTGAATGGTCCTTTTGAGGCTAGGCAGGACGAGGGGCCTGCTGCTGCTGCGGCTGCTGCTGCTGCTGGCGGGGGCAGACCCAGATCGTCCGATGCTGGGAGTGGGGAGCGGTGGGAGAAGGGGAGTGCGTGGGGCGAGGTGCTTGGTGCCCCCAACTCCGCTTTGCCCTTCAATGCCCTTATTTCCTCGCTCGCCCGCGCAGGTATGCTGCCGCAACTCCCTCACTGTCCCTCTCTCTCTCTCCCCTATCTTCCACTCTCTCGTCCTTACCACTCCCTGATCTCCCATCTCCTCCCCATGTCTTCCCAATGCCCTCCTCTCCGCCCCTCCCCTCCTTCTTTCCCCTCCCCTCTTCCCTCAGGTCAGTGGCAGTTGGCTCTTTCAGTCTTCTCCCAAATGAAAACCCTCGGGATTCGCCCAGACCACTTCACGTGGTCCGGGCTAGCTTCGGCGCTGGCTCGGGCGGGCGAATTCGACCGAGCCATGGCTCTATTCGAGCACATGGGGGAGAGGGAGGGGCTGCAACCAACACTGGTGGTGTGTAATTGCGCGCTGCTGGCGTGTCAGCACAAGGCCAAGTGGCAGAGGGCGCTGCAATTGCTGTGGCGCATGGAGAGGATGGGCGTACAAGCAGACGTGAGGAGCTACAGCATGGTCATTCGGACTTGTGAACTCGCAGGTGGGTGGTTGAGTGCTCTCTCACATGGCTGTGCGCTGCTGGCGTGTCAGCACAAGGCCAAGTGGCAGAGAGCGCTACAGCTGCTGTGGCGGATGGAGAGAATGGGCGTGCAGGCGGATGTGTGGAGCTACAGCATGGTCATCCTCTGTCTCTCCAGGCCTGTCAGATGCTGCCCTGACGGATGCTGCCTATCAAAGGATGCTCAGTGCAGGTTGCAAGCCCAATACCTTCACTCTTGCATCACCCAACCCCGTGCTCTCTTCTGCTGCTTCCCCCACCTGGGTTTCCACGTATCCTCCCCTCTCCAGGCCAATCCGAGGCAGCCCTGACGGTGTATCAATGGATGCTCAAGGCAGGGTGCAAGCCCAACACCTTCACCCTGGCATCACTCCAACCCAGCCCAATTTAATGCTCCCTTTTGCTGCCTCATCCACCCTGGTTCCCTCTTCTCCTCCCCGTGCCAGGCCAATCTGAAGCGGCCCTGACGGTGTATCAACGCATGCTCAAGGCAGGATGCAAGCCCAACACTTTTACTCTGGCATCACTTATTCGCATTCTTGGGAAGACTAAGGACTGGCAGGGGGCAGTTAAGATCTTTGAGGTGAGAGGGGTGGAGGCTGGGGAAAACATATGCCGTAGTGATTTTTCCTTTCAAACAGCATTGGCTGCAGACGCATGGCTTTAAGGAACTGGCTCTTGCCAGTCCTGCAATGGAGAAAAGTATTGTTTATGCCATTTTTCCCTTGTTCTGCCCGGTTCCTCCTACTGAAGCAGGATGCGCGATCTTCCGGCGTCCCCCTTAATGCACACCTCTTTAATGCGTTACTAGACGCGCTGCTGCACAACAGGCAGGTGGCAGCAGCACGCTTATACCGAGTGCAGATGAGACGGTATGGGGTGGTTGAGGATGCAAACACCCGGGCGATTCTGAAGCGAGCGGAAGAGAGGGAGGTGGGGTGGGATGCGGAATGGGAAGAGGAAGTGAAGGTGAGGGAAAAGGAGAAGGAGAGGGAGAGGGAGAGGGAAGAGAGGGAAAGAGGAGATAGGGATATGGAAAGGTAGATGATGGAAGGGAGGAGAGCGAGGAGAAGGGGGAGAGGGGGAAGGGGGGGCAGTGCTAACGCGGTAAGGTGAAGTTAGCAGCGTAACGCGGCAAGTCGAGCAGTGCTAGGGAGGGAAGCGAGAGGGAGGGAGGGAGAGGAGGGTACAGGGAGAGGGAAATTGTGGTCTGGTATGTTATGATGGTGGGTGGGTTATGTTGAGACGTTGTGTAGGCATTTGCGTACTGTGTTAACCATCTGTAATGTAAGATGGTCCAGTCTCAAACATGATGGGGGGCCCGTGAATCTTACTTTTGGTTATAGAACCTTCCAATATTTCACCTTTCTAGCCTCTCCAGCCTGTACACCTCAGAATAATCAAATCAATTGTTAGTCCTGTCAGCTTCACAAGTCCAGGTCAGCAAATCAGATGGAATCTTTTGTAATCATTATAATTTTTAAAAGTGTAACACTTTTTAAAATTTTCGTATTGTGAAAGCGAGGACGTGGCCAGCAAAGCAAAGGTAGCGGTTCGACGCTACTCACCCCTCTTTTGCCTACAAAAGAGGAACGTGAGCTCAGTAGCTCCACCCACGTTCTTCATTTCCAATTTTCTAGTCTTACTTTCCCACCTCTCGTTCATCCTGGCGAAGACGTAGTCTCTCCCGCGGTTCAAGTCCCCGTCGACATTGCTTACCGACATTCTCCAACACAACCTGGCGAATATGGCGCCCGCCAACACTACACTTAATCGTGAGGCGGAAAAGACAACTACCCCGGGTAACGCTTCGGAGCACGCGAACGCGCCCGGGGCACCCGACCGCCGCGGAAAACGCCCTGCTGAAGACAATTTCGGCGAGGGCACTTCAGGAGTCGAAGTGCTGCTCGGGAGCAACTCCGGAGCCCCCTCCGAAGAAGCACGCGCGACTGTGAAACAGTCGCGCGTGCCTGCTGCTGAGGAGCGTGTGGCTCCCAGGCAGCCGCGCGTGCCGGTCAAGTCAACGCCGGCTGACGCGGACGGCGACGCTGGTCAGCCGGGGCCCACCCTGCAGAAGCGCCAGAAGGCCGCGACCCCAGCAGAAGCCGCCCCAGTCAACCCCCTCGCGTCCCTCACTGCGCAGCAGATGCAGGCACTACTGTCGATATTACAGCAGCACGCTCCGGTTACAATCGCAACTTCTTCCGACTATATTTCAGCACCTGCAAAAATCGAAAATCAGAAAGAAGTCACCGCTCCTCGCGCAAACAAGGCTGCTCGCGTTAACGAGACCACTGCCGCACCCCTCCCCGCTCCCGTACCGGCACCGATCACCACTCAAGACGACAGCGACGACTCAGAGAACGACGATGGTGAGGCCCCCAACAACATTACCCGTCGTCGTATTATTGCACCCGCACCTTCTCTTCCACCTCTCAATCCCACACCCGCACCCACCACCTTCATGCGCAAAGGCGTGCGCGATCAGGCGGAGGTTTTCTCTGCTATCCAGGCACACCGGAAGCACGTCAATTTCAAGCTCCAGCACGGCGACATCGAAAGCGCCCTTGCCAACGTCGCGGAAATCGAAACGCTCATCAATAAGCACTTCGAAGTCCTCTTGGTGGCGGACGAGGCGGGGTTCGAGGCTGCCGATCGCTTTCAGCTATACCAGTCCAAGAGAGTGCTAACCTCACGCTCCTACAAGCTCGCAATTGCGGATGTGGCGGCTCTCAAGCGTGCGCGCGCCGGCTACACTCGTGGTAATCGCATGCCTACCCGAGACGGCGAGACGGAAGGCAAGGGGATGCCACCCGCAAGCTGCCACGAACCCCGCTTCAAGGGGGTGTGCTTCCGCTGCGGCCAGCCCGGCCATATGGCAAATGCTTGACCTATGGGAGGGCGAGGCGCTCAAGGCCCCTCACCCGTCGTGTGAGGAGGCACACGGGGCGGCGCCCCTTGCCACTATGCCGGGGGGCGTAGGTGGGAGCACCGAGGGTGCGGGACTGCTAGTTAGCATGGTGTATGGGCTGGATGCCTTAGAAATCCCTAGCCGTAAGGGCGTCTATGGGGGTAGTACATGCTATGTACCCATGTGTGGAAATAAAGTTCTCTTGTTTTAACTTTAAAAAAAAAAAAAAAGGGTGAGAGAAAAGGAAAGTGGAACCAAGGCAGCCACTTGGCAGCCCGAGCAGCCCCCTGCCTAGAAGTGAAGAGTAAGGAGGAGAGAGGAAGAAACTGAAAAAATAATAATAATGATAATAATAAATAAAACGTGAGACTAAGGGGCAGAAAGTGAGAAGAAGAGCAAACGGGAGAAAGCGGAAGAGGAGAAAGAAAGAGAAAGAGAGGGGGAGAGAGAAAGAGAGTGTGAGAGAGCGAGAGGAGAGAGAGAGAGAGAGAGAGAGAGAGAGAGAGGGAGAGAGAGAGAGAGAGAGAGAGAGAGAGAGAGAGAGAGAGAGAGAGAGAGAGAGAGAGAGAGAGAGAGAGAGAGAGAGACGGAACAAGGAGATACGGAAGACGTAACATCGAGCATGTATAAGCCCCCGAGCTGGTCCTATGACCAAAGGCTAATCACCCAATACACCATACCCCGGTTGACCCCACGTGCAGTGGCTGACGGCAAGTGGCGAGAGGCGGAATGGGACCCCTACGAGAATGCGGTCACAGACGACACGGTGAAGGTCATGCGCAACCGATTGCGCAACCAACTGCACTGGTGGATATCGTGGTGCGACAGCAGTTTTATTATCCCAATTATTGCCAGAGGATATTGGCTGCCTTGGAAAACTACAGCACCGCCACCCTTCGAAACCACAAACCACGCGGGTGTTCACGCACACACCGCGTTCACTCGTGAGGCCATTCGCGACCTAATCACATCGGGCGCGGCAACAACGGTCCCCTCGCGGACTGCGCTCTCGTGCGTAAGCCCACTCAATGTGGTGGAACAACGCGACAAATGTCGCCTCATCCTCGACCTACGCAAGGTCAATCAACACCTCCAAGTCCCCAAATTCAAATATGAGGGTCTGAATCGGGTCTCGGAGATCATTCGACGCAACGACTGGCTGTTCACCATTGACCTAAAATCGGGCTACCACCACGTTGAGATGCACCCATCGTGCTGGAAGTTCCTAGGCTTCCAATTCGAAGGCGAGTTCTACTGCTTCCAAGCTTTGCAGTTTGGACTGGCAACAGCACCTTTCGTCTTCACCCAGTTGATCAAGCAATTGGCCAAGCGTTGGCGTGCGTGTGGCGTGCGCGTAGTCCCATACGTCGACGACTTGCTATTCCTCTGTGACTCCGCGGAGCAAGCACGCAAGACATGCACAGAGGTCTTACGCGACCTGGGGGCCGCAGGTTTTGTGATCAACGAGAAGAAATCGCGCCTCCAGCCGGCCCAGCAAACACGGTTTTTGGGGATAGAGCTTGACACGACTCGCGGCATGTTTAGCATCGGATCCGATCGGAAGGCGCACTTTCTAGACACGCTCAACACACTCATCTCTAATGGGCAACGTGGCCAGCAAGTCCCAATTCGGCAAGTCGCTCGTATCACCGGAATGTTGAGCTCCATGTCCCTCGCATTGGGCACGACGGCACGCGCCTTCAGCCACGAGCTGCTACAATTGATTGATGCAGCGGCATCTTGGCACTCAAGGATCTGGCTGCCACTGGCCGCCATCGAGGAGCTAATCTTCTGGCGGCTGCACTTCGACCAATTTAACGGTGCCCCATTTCACCTAAGCCATCAATTCGATGCTGTGATCCACGTCGACGCGAGCGCGCACAGCTGGGGCGCCACCCTTACAAAGTTTACCGACACATCGTATGAAGCAAGTGCCAGCATGCCGAGCGAGCTCCTCCCAACCTCAAGCACTCAAAGGGAGCTTGAGGGAGTCCTATGGGCGCTACAGACATTTGCGTCCCACATCACCAGCGGCCACGTTTTGGTTCGCGTGGACAACCAAGGCGTCGTTTTTATCTTGCGGAAAGAGGGGTCCAGCCAACCTCGGCTGACACTGACATGTCAAGCAGTCATACAGTTCTGCCTCAAGAACCATACACGCCTGGCGATCGAATGGATCCCGAGGGAGCTAAATGCCCACGCGGACGAACTGTCTAAAATCCAAGACCATGACGACTACGCGCTGCACATACTATGGTTTTTTTTGCTGGAACGTCGATGGGTTCCCCACACGATCGACCTTTTCGCAAACATCAGCAACAAGAAGCTGCAAAGATTCTGCTCCAAGATACCGCACCCAAGTGCCACAGCAATTGACGCTTTCTCGATCTCGTGGAAAGG